GCCTTGCATGCCTGAGGCCTTGGGTTCGATTCCTCAGCACCACATAAGCAAAAAGAAAAAAGCCGGAAGTGGTGCTGTGGCTCAAGTGGTAGAGTGCTAGCCTTGAGCTGAAGAGCTGAGGGACAGCGCCCAGGCCCAGAGTTCAGGCCCCACAATCGGACCCCCCCCCAAAAAAAGAACCTCAGGCACAGTGTCCAGGCCCTGAGTTCAATCCCCAGGACTGGCAAAAAAAAAAAAAGCTACTAAAACTCATGCCAAAGGTAAGCTTAGTCTAAGGTGTATCCAAGTCCAGACCCTCTTGTGGTGCTAGCCTGAGGAACCTTTCAGAGCTGGATGCACCTTGCCTAGCCATTTTCAAATGCTGCCATCTGGCAACCCAAGGGAAGGAGAAAATTCACCACCACCACCACCACCCCCATAAAAATGACTGAAAGCTAAAAGACAGAACTTATGCATTAAAGTCCATCATCACTCATGATTGGCAAAGAGTTACAGACAATCCCAACATTGTGTTCACGAGTCTATGTACATTTAAAGATTTAGAGATGAAAACCACATCTTACTCCACGTGTCATATCGTAAAGTGTTCTTAACACTTTAAAAGTTCTCATTTACACTGCCTCATAGTTACCAGTGCAAGCAATTATCACTGTATTTCCTAGTTGACACAGACTTTATAAGGACCTTTCACTGGCTTCAGTGGAGAATGAATCTAGAAAGGAAGAAAACGGGGGGGGGGGGCTGTGCACAGGCTGGGAATGTGTGTGCCTTAGTGGTATAGAGTGCATTTGCCTAGCATGCATGAAGCCCTGGGTTCCATTCCTCAGTACCACATAAACAGAAAAAGCCAAAGTGATGCTGTGGCTCAAATGCTAGCCTTGGGCAAAAGAAGCTCAGGGACAGTGCCTAGGCTCTGAGTTCAAGGCCCTGGGTTTAAGCCCCTGGACTGGCAGGAAAAAAAAAAAAAAGCAAAGAAGGGAAAGGAAAAGAAAAGAAGGGAGGGAGGAAAGAGAAAGAGAAAGAAAGAAAGAGAAAGGGGGGGGAGAGGAGGGGAAAGGGAAGGAGAAGAGGTATAGTGCTCGGTAATCATAGCTACTCAGAAAGCCAAGGTCAGTAGAGTCATAGTTCCAGGCCAGCCTGGACAAAAAGATACCCTCTACTGGAAAATAAAAATTAGGAAATGGTACTGTGGCTCAAGTGGTAGAGCACTAGCATTGAGCTGAACAGCTCAGAGTATAAGACCCATGACTGACCATAAAAAAAAAGAGGGCTGGGAAGGTGGCTCAGTGGTAGAGCGCTTGCCTTGCATGCCTGAAGCCCTGGGATCGATTCCTCAGCACCACATAAGCAAAAAAGAAAAAAAAGCCAGAAGTGGCCCTGTGGCTCAAGTGGTAGCACGCTAGCCTTGAGCTGAAGAACTGAGGGACAGTGCCCAGGCCCAGAGTTCAGGCCCCACGACCGGACCCACAAAACAAAAAAAAAAAAGGAAAAGAAAAATAACGAAAAATAACTGGAGGAAAGAAAAGAGCTGGAGCTGTGGCTCCATGGTAGAGCACCTGTCTAGTAAACATGAAGCCCCAACTTCAAACTCCACAACGATCAAAAACAAATAAGGAACAGACTCCAAGTTTGGGTGTGGGAATAAATGAACCTCAAAACTCAGTAATTTCTCATGAGAATGTTTGGTTTTTTTTGGTCAGTAGTGGGGCTTGAACTCTGGGCCTGAGCGCTGTCCCTTAGCTCTTCAGCTCAAGGCCAGCACTCTACCACTTGAGCTACAGCACCACTTCTGGTTTTCTGGTGGTTTACTAGAGATAAGAGTCTCACAGACTTTCCTGCCAGGGCTGGCTTTGAACCAAGATCCTCAGATCTCAGCCTCCTGAGTAGCTAGGATTACAGGTGTGAGCCATGTGACCCCGGATGAGTATGTTATATTTGTACTAAGCTCTAGAGGGAAAAAATGTAAATGTTTGTTGAATGTAATGGACTAGATATTTTTTAACTGATCAATAAAGATGACAGAAAAAAAGTCAATAACTAAAAAAAAAAATCCACCTGATAAGAATTTTACATATAGGTCATGCTCTAAAAGTGAAATCTATAGATTCACTCTACCTTCACATTTTTTTGTCCATTGTGGGGCTTGAACTCAGGGTCCTAGGCACTGTCTCTAAACTTTTTTTTTTTTTGCTAGTGCTACTTTGAGACACAGCGCAACTTCCACTTTTTTGGTGGTTAATTGGAGACAAGAGTCTCATAGACTTTCATTCTCAGGCTGGTTTCAAACCCTGATCCTTAGGTCTCAGACTTCTGAGTGGCTAGGATTATAGGCATAAGCCTCAGTTTTTGTAATTCCAATATCATTTCCCCTGTAACAAAAGGAAAATGGTAGCATCTTTATAAGATATAAAAACTCCCAATTTAAGCTATATGTAACAATAGTTTCATATATCAAAGAAGTCATATAAATGAAAGCCAAGTACCCAACTGTGATGTGCTTTAAAAAGTTCATTTTTTCTATAACTTTAAGGTCTATGCTGAGCATGGTGATCACATCTGTAATCCCTGTATTCCCTGAGATTCAAGTCCAATCTGGGCTATGCAATGAAACTTTATCTCAAAGAAATATTTAGACTCATGAAAAGAATGTTAAAAATAACAGAATTATAAAACTGAGTATATTGATTTGGATCTACTATAATTCAAACCACATTCCACAAGCCATAAATACAATCAATACATATAAATCTGCTGACAGTTTTTTAAGCCACAATTTTAACACAGGAAATGTAACATGTACTGTGGATCACATAAATATACAAAGTGAATTCATATATACATAAAGTGAACACAAAATTCTGGTTTAACCTGGTATTTTGACCAAATATATCAGTTTTCTTCTCACTGCTGTTCAGAAACCAAGCAGAGAATTTCACCAGTCATTCTAAGATAGAATAACAGTAAATCTGTCAAAAACAGTAACTGAGGGACTGTGGATGTATGGATGTAGCACACTGATAAGAACCTATGTCGGGTACCACTATCACAAAAAAATAAACTAAGGAGAAGCTATGCAATGTACAAATGTGACAGCCTCTAAATAAATGGTTTTAAAGGCATAAACAATAAATTGGCTTATTCATTTGGGGAAATTACCCTACAGACATATGAAGATGGTTTTGTTGGCTATCCCACCTTCTCTACAAAATAAGGGGCCTAATAGGATATTTGTAACTTACTAGTTACTTGTTAACTAACACAGACAAGAATCTGGAAAGTGTTCCTAGCAATTACAAAAATGAATGTTTATCAAATAGAGTTATGCATATTGTTTTAAACCAATAAGTATGTTGAAATAGATGTCAAATAAAAAGAAATATGAGACATCATCCCGTTCCTTGAAGTGCCTCTTATTTGGGTATGGGTATATACACATGAAAGAATGAGAACAATTAATTGGTAAACTCAACTGTTATCTTCAAGTGTTGTCCAGAAAAGTTTAAATATCGAAAGGCTGAAATAATAGTACTTTTAATAGCTATCACTTGGGCACTTAGTATGAGCCAAGTGCTTTACAGGCATTATTTAGTCTTCACAACAATCCTTTGAGTAGAGTACTTATTATTTCCAATTTATTCAAGGGGAAACAAAGTGGTTAAGGAACTTACCCAAGGTCACTCAGCTAGTTAAGTGGATAAGACGGCCACTTATTCAGGCAATTCAATCTCAAGCTCGTACTGTTAAGTTTCATACAACAGTGCGAGGGGGAAGGGAGGCTGCGGGGGAAGAGTATGCCTTATAGGCTGGCAATGTTACAAGAACAAGATCGGGCAACGCGTTCGCGGCACAACACGGTACGGCGCTCCAAATAACAAAGTTTCAAGGTTTCAAGTCTTCCCATTAGCCACAATAAACTAGCTACTGGGGTGGGGTACAGGAAGACGACCCAAATCACTAACAAATTTTAATCTCACACCGGATTGAGCTTTAATCTTCCAAGGCGATTTAAGAAAAATGAAATTAGAACATTATTCGTTTTTAAATATGTGGTTGACTTTGCTGCTTAAACAATTCCTCCCCCCACTCCCGGAAGGGGGGGTGGAGCTCTATTTTAGGCGAGGAAACCACAAGTATGGCAAATTACCGTTTTCTGTATTACCGGGAGGGGGCAAAAATTAAGTTTTAGGACCAAGGGAAACGTGTTATTGTAGGTAGTCAAGCTTGGAGAGTAGCCACATTTAGTTACAGTAGCAGGACATAGTGGGGTATAAGAAGCATTTGCAGTGAAAGTTGAATCCAACCCGAAATCGCTCTAAAGGTGAAAAGACGGAGCAAAGAAGTGCTGTAGGTCTTCGGGGAGAATGGCATCCCAGCCACACTTCCCCACGGCCCGCGGCGCTGCGCAAGGCCAGGACAGTCCAAGATCTCTCTCCCCGGGAGGACGAGAGATGCCAAACGGGGCTCTTCACGATACCCCAGGCTTCTGGGCAGCGCAGAGGGGGGAGAGTGTCCAGGACAGTTCGCCCTCCTCAGACTTCGGGCAAAAGGAGGTTGCCAGGCTTCAAACTGAGGAGTCGAATGGGTGCAGAGTGAAGAAATGGCACCGAAAGAAATGGGAAGTCCGAATCGCTCCGGCTCAGGTCCATAAAGAAAGGAGCCAAGTGAGCTCAGGCAGACGGGGACAAAAAGACACCACAGCGATCGGGAGCGCGGAGACCCACAGGGGCAAAACGACAAATCGGCTGAGATCAACGGAGCTGAGCCACTGGGTGAAAGCAGGGGATTTAGCAATACCGGAAGGGAAAAAGGAGAACGGCGACAGTTACCAACACCTCTCGTTCTGGAGTTCGAAACTCCTAGCCAACCCAACAACCGCCGCCCCAGTGGGGGAGGGGGTACATTGTCCCCTTCCTCACCCCCAACCTACCACCACATTTAAGGGTACTGTCGACGCCTTGACCCGGCCAGGCCGTTGAGCTGCCTGTGGCAGCGACACTCACAATTCGCATCTCCCTGTTTTCTCCCAGTTCTTTATCCACTCTGCGGGAAGCACCACGGTTGCGTCCGCCATCTTCCCCTCACTAGTAACAGAAGCCCGGATGTGTAGCACGCGAGCGCAGGGTCAAAGGGGAGCACCGCCCACGGGGAATGCCGGGAGCTGGGAGTTCTCTTTTCAGTTTCCCGCCCCACCTTCCGCATCACCCGACCGAAGGCCAAGGCTGGGCCGCCTACGCAACATCTGTGGCCCGTTTCTCGGCGTGACTAAGCTGGCCGCGCCCTCCCTGGTCCTCGCCCTTGTTTCTCGTTAGAACAGGACAAATAAATGGCAGACTCACTGACTCAGCTACCCTTTTCTTCCACAGTATCTACCTTAAAGCACTCGTTCAACTTTGTATTTTTCTAGCTCTGAAATGATCAATAACCACTTCGACTGAAGAAACAGTATCCTCTGACACCTGTCCTCAAGCTGCGCAGGCTCTGTAGAAAATATACAAAAATGAGATTAAAAAGTATCTCAGAGCCAGGCACTGGTGACTCACACTTGTAATACCCAGCTGTTCAGGAGGCTGAGATCTAAGAATCTCGGTTCAAAGCCAGCCCCAGGCAGTAAAGTCCCTGAGATTCTTATCTCCAACTTAACTACCATAAAACCGGAAGTGACTCTGTAGCCCAAGTGGTAGAGCACTAGCCTTGAGCTGAAGAGCTGAGGGACAGCGCCCAGGCCCAGAGTTCAGGCCCCATGATCAACAACAACAACAGCAACAAAAAGTATCTCAGTAATGACCCTGACACAAATGGAGAAGGTTACTATTTAACTTATGTCAGACAATGTAGTCTTGAAAAACTTCATCTCTGAGTACTGACAGGACCAGCCAAAGTAGAAGGCTCAGCAAATCATAAAGAAACAATGTTACTTTCGGATCCTAAAGTATTTTTTCAGGAGAAACTAATACAAAACAGGAAGTTAAGTTCTCTGCAGGTAAACCGCATGACTGGTATGCGGCATGCCCTGATTTTAATACTCCCAAGTACTACAAAAATTAAATGCCTCCAGAAATGTAAAAGAACTTCATGTGTCTCCTGATGAGATGTTAGGAAAAATAATAATAAAAAATTAGCTTTGTTTTGTATTGTTTTCGTTTTAGACCTCGAACTCATGGCCTGGGTACCGCAACCTTGAGATTTTTTTTTCCCCTCAAAACTGTGCTCTACCACCTTAAACCACAGCTCCTCTTCTGGTTTTCTGGTGGTTAATTGAAAATAAGAGTCTCATGTTCTTCACCTGATTTAGCTAGTTGTAACCCCTCTAAACATCACTGTTATAATTGTAAATATATATATATGTATATATATATGTGTGTGTGTGTGTGTTTAATCAGACTTTCCTGCCTGGGCTGGCTTTGAACCAAGGGACTCAGATCTCAGCCTCCTGATTAGCTAGGATTACAGGTGTGAGCCACAATGGCGCCAGACTTCTTTCTTTTTTTTTTTTCCTTTCCTTTCCTTTTCTTATACTATAGGATTACAGGTGTGAGCCACCCGGCCGTGAGCCACCCTGATACCAGGCTTTTTTTTTTTTACTTACAAATCACTGCAAAATTTGTATAACCTGAATTCAACCCTGAAAGAACTTTGAACAAATCCATGCTCAGGAGCCATCTAAAAAGTTTCTGGGGCTTGGGAAGGTGGCTCGGTGGTACAGTGCTTGCCTTGCATGCATGAGGCCCTGGGTTCAATTCCTCAGCACCACATAAGCAGAAAAGGCTGGAAGTGGTGCTGTGGCTCAAGTGGGAGAGCACTAGTCTTGAGCTGAAGATCTGAGGGACAGCACCCAGGCCCAGAGTTCAAACCCCACAACCAACAAAAAAGAAAAATCTGGCTTTCACTCTTCAAACTTGTCAGAGTCATGCACCACAAACATTACTTCTTCTAGAAGACAAGAACATAACTGATCCCAACCAGATTGTTTTGCTTTTACTATAAAGAAAATTACTACCACACTTGACTAAACTTCAATATGTGTAAAGTAACAATGCTGTATCAGTGAAATGTGAAGAAGTATAACCATAAAATCCCATTCCATATAACTAATGTAAGCTAATGCAAAATTAAACAAAGCTGGCACCAGTGGCTCGGTTCAAAGACAACCTGGACAGGAAAATCCGTGAAATTCTTATCGCCAATAAACTACTAGAACACCGGAAGTGGCATTGTGGCTCAAGCAGTAGAATGCTAACCTTGAGCTGAAGAGCACATGGACAGCACCCACGCCCAGAGTTCAAGCCCCACAACAGACCAAAACAAAAAACAATAAAACAAAATTAAAGAAATATTTCCAGGCACCACTGGTTCATTCCTATAATCCTAACTAATCAGGAGGCTGAGATCTGAGGCTTGTAGTTCAAAGCTAGCCTAGAAAGAAAAGTCCATGACTTTTTTTCCAGTCCAGGGGCTTGAACTCAGGGCCTGGGCACTGTCACTGAACTTCTTTTGCTCAAGGCTGCACCCACCACTTCGAGCCACAACACCACTTCCAATTTTCTGGTGGTAAATTGGACATGAGTCTCATGAACTTTCCTACCCAGGTTAGCTTTGAACCACAGTCTTCAGAGCTCAGCCTCCTGAGTAGTTAAGATTAAAATATGAGCCACCAGCACCTTGCTTGTGAAACTCTTTTATCTCTTAACCATAAAATGCTAGAAGTGGAGTTGGACTCATTACTTTACTCATATAACTGTAACCCTTCGGGTTACAATTTTTTTGGGGGGGTTGGTTGTGGGGCTTGAACTCTGGGCTGGGCGCTGTCCCTCAGCTCTTTAGCTCAAGGCAAGCGCTCCACCACTTGAGCCACAGCACCACTTCCAGCTTTTTTCTGTTTATGTGGTACTGAGGAATAGAACCCAGGGCCTCATGCGTGTGAGGCAAGCACTCTACCACTGAGCCACCTTCCCAGTCCTGTACAGCATCTTTGCAACAAAATAAAAATGTTTTTAAAAGAATGCTAGCCTTGAGCAAAAGAGCCTAGGAACAGTGCCCAAGCCCTGAGTTCAAGCCCAGGATTCACAGACACACACACACACATAGAGAGAGAGAGAGAGAGAGAGATACTATATCAGTGTTGATTTACTTTAAGTACTTGTACTGTAGTTATGTAAAAGAAACAACCCTCATGCTGGTCCCATTAGCCACTCTGGAAGCTCATAACAGGATCCTGGGGGCTGGGAAGTTGGCTCAGTGGTAGAGCGCTTGCCTTGCATGCCTGAGGCCCTGGGTTCGATTCCTCAGCACCACACAAGCAAAAAGAAAAAAGCCAGAAGTGGCGCTGTGGCTCAAGTGATAGAGTGCTAGCCTTGAGCTGAAGAGCTGAGCGACAGTGCCCAGGCCCAGAGTTCAGGCCCCACGACCGGACCCAAAAAAAAAAAAAAACAGGATCCTGGTTCAAACCCAGCCAGGGCGAAAAGTCATGAGACACTGTATCTCCAATAGATCACCGAAAAGCCGAAATGAAATTGCAGCTCTAGTAGGAAAGCACTAGCCTGGAGCACAAAAGCTCAGGGACAGCACCTAAGCTCTGAGTTCATGCCCCAGGACCAACACACAAAAGAGCAGAGAAAAAGATGGCCTCAGGACAGGCACTTTTGGCTAAGGCCTGCAATCCTAGTTACCGTTAAAGATGCGATCTGAGGATTGTGGTTCAAAAGCAGCTGGGGCTGGAAAATCCAAGAGACTCTTATCTCCAATTAAGTACCCAAAACAAAACAAAACAACAAAAAAACACCAGAAATGAAGTTGTGCTCAAGTTATAGAGCACTAGCCTTGGGCAAAAAGCTCAGGAACAAGTCCTGAAAAAAAAAGAAAAGAAAATCTCTGGGGCTGGGAAGATGGCTCAGTGGTAGAGCGCTTGCCTTGCATGCATGAGGCCCTGGGTTCGATTCCTCAGCACCACATAAGCAAAAAGAAAAAAGCCAGAAGTGGCACTGTGGCTCAAGTGGTAGAGCGCTAGCCTTGAGCTGAAGAGCCAACGGACAGCACCCAGGCCCAGAGTTCAGGCCCCACGACCGGACCCAAAACAAAAACAAAAAAGGAAAGAAAATCTCTGCCTTGCGTTTCCACATATGCTTGTAATAAATAAAAAATAAGTAAATAAATAAATAAGCTGGGTACCAGTGTTTCATACCTGTAATCCTAGCTACTGTGGAAACTGAGATATGAGGATAATGGTTCCAAATCAAACTGGGAAAGAAAGTTCAGAAGTATAGCTGTGGCTCAAGTGGTAGGGCTCTAGCTTTAAGCACAAAAGCACAGAGATGGTGACCAGGCCCTGAGTTCAAGTCCCAGCACTGGCATGAGAAAAAAGTTTTTATTTACTTTTTAGAGTATTTTTTGTCGGTTGTGGGGCTTTAACTCTGGGCCTGGGCACTGTCCCTCAGCTCTTTAGCTTAAGGCTAGCACTCTATCAGTTGAGCCACATCACCACTTCCCATTTTCTGAGTGGTTTATGAAGACTTTCCTGCCTGGGCTGGCTTTGAACGGTGATCCTCAGATCTCAGCCTCCTGAGTAGCTAGGATTGTAGGCATGAGCCACCAGCACACAGCCAGAAAAAAAGTTTTGGGTTTTTTTTGGGTCTGGTCATGGGGCTGGTCATGGGGCTTGAACTCTGGGCCTGAGCGCTGTCCTTCAGCACTTCAGCTCAAGGCTAGCACTCTACCACTTGAGCCACAGCGCCACTTCTGGCTTTTTTTTTCTGCTTATGTGTTGCTGAGGAATCAAACCCAGGGCCTCATGCATGCAAGGCAAGTGCTCTACCATTGAGCCACCTTCCCAGCCCCCAGAAAAAAAAAGTTTTTAGAGCACATATTTTGCAGAGATTTTGCAAAATACACAGGTAAACAAATAAACCCTATGATATGTGTGTGTTAATATATGATCTTTAGAGCTAGTATTGATATAGGAGTTAGACGGAATGTTAGGAAATCTGATAGCTGAAAATGATGGCTTGGATATTGATAAGGAACATCATCCTAGACTAGTGATATTATAACTGATCTGACTGTCCAAACCCATGAACACCCCCGTGAGACAACTTGATGACC